TAGGCGAGGGTTATAGTTCGAACCGAGGGATATTGTTTACTTAAGCTGAGGGCCCTACAGGCAGAAGACATTGGCTAAGCAGAGGAGCGAGAAACAATCACCACTATATTTTGGACCCTATGAGGTGACGTAAAGCATCGGAGCCCTACATCCAATCTTCAAAGTTTCATAGCTGAGATGTGCGATCGGGGATTGTACACCCTTGTCGTCACTACCCTCGATGATGACAGAGGACCTGGAGGTGACGCTAGAACACTTAGAGGTTGAAGGGGTGCGCCGAGAAGCGGTGGGGATCAAAGGAGGTACTTATTAAGTGGAAGGGTCTGCCAAAGTATGAAACAATGTGAGCTTCTTATGAGGTGATCCATAGGAAGCTTCCATTTTTGTACCTTGAGGACAATGTTCTTCATTGAGAGGGGACCTAATCGGTCTAGGCAAGACCGGTCGAGAACCAACCGACCGACCAGCCTCAGTTGCTCAGAAACTGAGCGGCTCAGCATGGAGGGGAGACTCGGCGAGGAGTATCGATCGCTGCATCCAGTGAACGGGATGAGCCCATGAGGGCTGTAATCACTTATTCAATGGGAGAAATTGAAGGGGTTTTGGGGGGAATGTTTGAAGGTTTGGTAGGGTTTTATTATGGCTAATAACTAGGGTTTATTTATGTTTTATTTTTGCTGCAATTTTCCTTCTCTTCTGGTGGTTTTCATAGCGACATTTAGGGTTTGTTGAGAGACGATCTACATCTCGAATAGTAGATCATCAGTGTATCTTGCTTGTTTCTTTAGTTTTTTGTAAGAGCAGCCGCCGTTCTACCTTTTTATTGCAGTCCCGTCGCTGTTTGAATTTGACTCTGGATCATATCACAATTAAAAGTCAATCAAACAAAATTAGCTTGTCTTTCATCATTGGAAGTTTTGATATTTGAAGTAATTTACACTCAAATATTTAAGGTACATTACAAATATTGGTTTTGATAGTGCAAAGATTATTTTTGTATAGCAAAATAATTAATGACACATTTTGGTATTTGAGTCACTCAATTGCATCTTTGGAAATAAAATTTTCGTACATATTTAGGTTTTTGAAGCCTGTTAATATACGTTACCTGGCTAAAGGAACTGATGATCAGCCCACCACACAGGTTTTTGCATTTTGCAATTATTGATTCGGAAAATAAAAAAAAATCAAAAAATTGTAAAGCTCATCCACTATCACCTAGATGTATTTCAAAAGCAGTCTCCTATGCAACACTATGGATCCGATTTAGGCTCACTCACAAAAGAGTCTCAAATCTAAGGAAACAATCTAGCCTTTGAAGCGTGTTGGTATAGGGTTTCTTTGACACCATGAACAGATCCTAAAATTTGAGGAATATATTTTTATTTTGGGAGTAAGTTGCGGAGAAATGCGGTTTGACTGGAACAAGTTCAAGAAATTGGACGGGACAAAAATTCAAGAGTTCTTGACATCGATTAAACCAGACGGGATGGAAGAAATGGAGTAGAAAAATAAAAAACTTGGATTTCCCCAAGTGTGAACAACAATGGAAGAAATTTGGGATTTTTGCGACTGCTCTACTGCATAAGAGATTGGCACAAGCTTAAACTTTTTATAGCCCGAGTAATCCCTAATAACTATTGATAAATTTTATATTTAGTTATACCTAAGTTAGGTCGGGCAAGCCCAACTCTTTAGTTTGGGCTCAATCTTATTATGACTGGGCTAGCGCAGTTGATAGGTCTGCTGTCTAGTCGCTGGAAGGAAAAGAAAAATTTTTAAAATGCATTTCAGTAGTAATATTAGTTATTGAATATATACTTAATGGATTATAAATGTTCCATGTTTTAGAAATGACAAATGCTTTGATTTTTTGAATGTACAAATCATCATAGCAGTAAATTTTCAAAAGTGCATACTACACTACTAGCTTGATCAAGATGCCTGTCAAAATGTGACTGATTTGAAATGGGAATCTTTGTATATTTGTCACCAAATGCATTTTGATGCAATACTAGGATGCTGTAACTGCGCAGATGCATGAGGTACAAATAGGATAAATTGGGGCACTTGTTAAAGATGGTGAAGTTTATTTGAAGGTGGATTTATTTTTCTGACGTCAGATGCATTTTAACGCAATACCAATGTGAAATAAAATAACTTTAAAAATAGATACCAAAGCTAATAATTTTAGAAAGTGGAATGAAATGAGAAGGGAAAAAAATTGTAAAATGTCATTCTTTTTTTTTTCCCTCCCATAACCTACAAGAAGATTAACACTAGGCTTTTGTTTGGATTGAAGGAAAGTGAAGGAAACAAACGGAAACCCCATCACTTTATGTGTTGATTATGAATCTGCAATCATTGATTTAAGCTTTACATGTCTCTTTTTCCATTTCCTTTCATTTAGAATACTAAGATCCAAAACATAACCTTACATGCTTCATAACGATAAATACTGGATGGTTCCACTAATAAATGTTATGGTATTGGAAACTTTATTTTCTTACATCTCAGAAAAAAATGATTTATCTTGCAAATGTTCTTATTTATCATTGCAAAAATCATCTTATTTTAGGTCAAGTTTAATTTATAAGATTTCTTATGGTCTAGAAATTTTAATATATATCTTACATAAGAAGGAAAATTATGCAGCAACAAGCAGTATTTATAGTGTGCCAAAATATTAAGGCCAATAAATAAAAGGAGCCTCTCAAATAATTATTTTTTTAGTAGAAGCTTAAAAAAAATTACATTGGAGCAAAAATGCTTTTTAAAGGCATTTTTTTGAAAATATTTTTTTGAAGAAAATGCCTTAAAAGGGCCATTTTCTATAATTTTCTATTCTTTTCATAATTATTAATTAAATTTTAAATAAATTAAAAGGTAATAAAATTGATGCAGTAAATATGTAGTTACGTGTGAAGTTTAAATTACATGTAGAGGTTTAATCGAGCAAGTATATGGTGAATCGGACTTCTCTTAGCCATATTGCAAGTTCTTCTAGTTTGGCTCTTACTCGAGTCGAGCTTTGACATATATGTTCATATTGGAGTTTCTTTTTTTTTGTTGGAAATCACAATTATTTTGTACTTTATTTTTTCATATGAATTAAATAAGTACTTGAACGAGTTAATAAAAACTTCAATATTTTAACAAATACCTAATTTTTATTTAAAATTATTAAAGAATGATTTTGCACCACTAAACAAATAAACAGTTGAATAAATTTTTAATCTCTATGTAATTATTTTACATCAATTAAGTAATAAGGTAATATATGAGTTGCAAGTGTGCTTTTTTGCAATCGAATAATATAAATAAATAATCCTAAATTGTTATTATATCATAATATATTATTATTAAATATATAATTTAATAGGTTATAGATAATCAAATTTTATTTAAAGAATATATCATATATGATAACTATTTATTTTGATATGGAGCGATTAATAAGTTACTTGTCTTATGTTAGTTTATGATATGAGTCATGTACATCATTTCTTAAACAAATAATGTTTTAAGTACTCAATAGTGTGCTAGATGATAGTTGATATTATATATGATATATTGTTTAATAAAAAATTGATTTACTATAATTTATTTAATTATGTTTTTAATAAATATACAATATGATATCTATAATAATTTAGAATTATTTAATTATATTATTTGATTCCTCAAAACCGTACTTGCATCTTTTATTTTACCTTATTAATTAACTAATGTAGAATAGTTATATTTTTTTAGTTGTTTATATCATTTGTCAATAATTTTCTATAAAAGTAGGCACTGATTCAATTTTTTTTTTATAACTTGTTTTAAGTACTTTTTAAATTAATTTGAACAAATTAAGTAGAAAATAATTGAAATTTCTAAAAATTAAAGTAAAAAACACAAACATGAACATATATGTCAAAGCTTGTCTTGAGCAAGAGCAAAACATGAACAACTTATAATATGGTTAAGACAAGTTCAATTAGTCCAATTCAACGCATACTCATCCCAATTAGAACTCTATGCATAAGTTGAATTTCATATGTGCCTTTTTTATTTTATTTTGAATTTATATAAATTGAAAATTTTAATTATGAGAATAATTATAGAAATTGGCTTTTAATAAAAAAAAAATATTGTTTTTTTGGAGAAAACGTTCTTTAAAAAGGCCTTTTTGCATCAGTTAAGTTTTTTCGTAAGCTCTTGTAACTAAATAATTACTTGTCAAGCTCCTTTTTATAATTTGGTCAAATATTAATCCATATTTTATTACTTTTTTATAATTTGGTCAAATATTAATCCATATTTTATGACTTTCAAGAACAACAACAGCAGCAACAACAACAACAACAAGCTTTTATTCAACTATGATAAAAATAAATTACAACAACGGGTATGTGGTGTTCTGATAGAAATATATGTCTAAAAATTAAGGATCAATAAAGTCGCACTTTAAATTCATGCATTCGACTTGAACCCAAATTGTACCAAATCTTATTAAACACAATTGCACTTTGAACTCAATAATAAAAAAATGTAGAAAAAGAGGTAAGATATAATGAAAATATGAACAGAAAAGCAAGCTTCACAGATGTACAAGTAGGCATCGTCTTCCAGAACACTTTAGTGCCAATTGGCTGAATCTTTAGAGACGTTTTTTTGGCGGTATTATAATAGGAGAGCCGAACAGAGATTCAAATACAATTTAGACTTTTCAAGATCGATAACATTATGGGCACGTATGCATAGCGACCTAAAGTTAAATATAGTAACCAAAACCCAGTAAATCTCAAATAAAATTTAATACTCACATATTTTAATTTTTCAAGAATTGTTGATTTTGAAATGCACATCAAAGTTTCCAAATATTGGTCTTGTTTTGACCCACTTTCTATACTTCCATAATATGTTTTTTCTTCATGTTTGCTTGAATTTGTTCAATAAAGCACTGAAAGTTTGCTTTACTTTGATGTTTTCCTTATATCTGTTCTATTCTGCAGGTGACACCAAATTTGTATGGCAATCTTGTGGCGAATACTGCTGCAGGTATTGCTGGAGGAACTGGTGTAATGCCTGGAGGTACTATGTCCAATTACCGAACGTCTCGCCATTCTTTGCAATTTTCTTCCAGAAATTCAATTTTACTTCTCCAGCTAATTATCAGAAATTTAATATTTTTCACTGTCCTGATTCAATCGATATGTTGGTTCCTCCAATGATGACTTCTCTACACTACATGCCATTTCCTATTACTGCTTTTTAAAAGACAAACAATCCTTTTGTATTTTTTTTTTAAAGTTAAGATCATTTTGTTTCAGGTAATGTTGGGCAAGACCATGCAATTTTCGAGCAAGGCGCATCGGCCGGCAATGTAGGAAATGCGAAATTGGTGGAACAAAAGAAGGCCAATCCTGTGGCACTTCTTCTCTCATCTGCCATGATGTTAAGACATCTCCAGTTCCCTTCGTTTGCCGATCGACTCGAGATGGCTGTTAAGCGAGTGATCGAAGAAGGTAAATACAAAACTAAAGATCTCGGTGGCCAAAGCACCACCCAGGAGGTTGTTGACGCAGTCATATCACAATTAGATTGATCCTTTACAATATTGCTTAATATCTATATATCTATATATATCTATTTCTAATGTATACCAAAGAGTAGATACATTTCCAGAACCTTTTACATTTTGTCCTTCTGTTTACAATAATTGAATTGCGGATCAGAATTGATTTGAGTTGTAAGTTCTCGGGAAAATGAGAATGATATATTTTTTTTGGAATATAAACAACAAAGTTTTCACCTAATAATCAGTTGGTTGCTTCTCTTTTCTAGTGCCCAGTTTTATGACAATATTAAAGAATATATGTAAATATAATTGGAAGTTGAAATTGGTGGGCCTCATTTATTAAGTCCTAGAAATTTGACGTCACTCGTGTAATTGAGGGCCGTTACCATTTGGAAAACACGTTTCGGCAGCTTATCCGAAAATGTGGTTTGGTTTTTACACTAAATGCAAGCCGCAGGTCGGACCCTTCGGGTCATCCGCGGGCCGCGTTTCAGGATAAGCTGCTTATCTGGATAAACAAAAGCTGTCCAAACGCACCATGACTTGTTGGCTCATATTTTATAAATGTCTAATGAAGTTAACGCAAGTTGGATTTGATGTACTGTTTAGCTCTTAAATTGACTTGTTTATAAGAAGTTAATAAAAAAAATAAGTTAGAAGACAATAAAGCTAAGAGCTGGTAAGTATAAAATTATTAAAAATAAATAAAAGTATTTTTAAACTCCATTTGTTCGTTATTATATTTATATTTATATTTCATTCTTTCTATATTTTTGTTGAAGTAGCTGCTTAAAATTTCTTTTATTAATAAATAAGCTAGTGCGCGCTAGGTCATTGCTCAATTTAAGTAGGGGAAATTCAAGATAAATATTTTTTCAAAATGTATAGATTATGGGTCTATCACTTGTATAGAATTTCATTGAAATTCATGAGTTTCATCTAAAACAGCAGAAAAAAAATTAAAATAAAAAGGAATAATGAATTTTAATAGTTGTTAACATAAATTGTTTTTGAATTATTGAATGAGGCAGACGAAGACAACAACAAACAACAACAACAACAAAGTAACAACAACAAAGTCATAATCCCACTACGTGGGGTCGGCTACATGAATCTTTTTTCTCCATTGCGTTCTATTTAGTGTCATATTTTTATTTAGTTCTAATAAAATAAGATCAAATTATTTTAGAACTGAGTAAATTATGCTCTATTGTCTGTTGTTTTATGCAAAAAGGGGCTTAAGTTGGCCGAAAATTCTCAGCCAAACTCATTGAGAAACCAAAACATCTTTCACAGTTTTACTTGGTATTTAAATAATTAAGAAATATGAGGGCAGTTTAATAGCATTTTTTATCAGGTTAATAATATTTTTATAATGCATTTTTACCTTCCCATCACATGTATTTTTCAAATTAATTTATCAATACTTTCAAAATAATTTCATGAGTACACAACATAGCACGATTTCTTCTTGTTATGTCTAGGAGGCACACCCAAGAGATTCAAGCATTTGAACCAAGAGAAAAGGAGATAGATAGTTAGAGAGAGAGAGAGAGAGTGCATAACAAATTGCCCCTTTAGGCCAAAACGAGATATTCCCAGGTTCTAACTCTTATTATATAATCAAAAGTTTTTAATACATGGGGAGGGTGAAGAGCCAAAAATCTCTTACTGTAAGAAGATACATGAGAGAAGCGAGAGACAAAAAATCATATTGCATGAAAAGTTCCCTCTATTTAGAAGAGGGTGAGCAATGAAGGAAAATTACATGTATAATTTCACTTTAAGAGGGGTAATAAGGGCTATTTTAGTAATTAACTTCAATCGACCTTGGGTTCTGTCATTCTCAAGTTCGATCGACTAGGGCAGAAGAGGTGACTTGATCGGTTCTGTGAGTTGGCCTACTGGACAAGGACTGTCACTCAGTCACTCCTTCAGGTATTGAAGACCGAGAGAATTCTCAAAGATAGTCGAGGAGATGGGCTCGTCGGCTGATGTTAACTGGCCAGATGAGTTGAGCTTGTCGTCAATCCTTGGTTCTCGCTGTTGGAATTCTTGCCGACAAGAAGACTTATAGCCTTGATCATATGTACCCTCTAGCAAAGGATATTTTATGAGCACATATTGCTTGGTCGGTTCAGATGAATACTGGCTAGTGTTAGCCAATCAGCATTCTTTGGTTTCCAGGTTACTTTCTAGTGAGTCCCGTGTTGCCATGTCATTATTTTCTTGGGCTGTCAGACTGCCTTGAGATTTGTTTTAATACATTTTTAGTGTAAATATTTAGTTCCCTATTCTCTTGCTTTTTGAAATTGAAGCTGCAATAAAAACAAAAAAAATTAATGCAAAAAGTGAACAATATTTATGATTACTTAATAACACAATAATTGAACTCTTATTGAATTTCATGTTCGCAATTCATATAATCATGGTGTAAGGGGCTGGCTTTTCCTATCTTCCTTTGATTTTCCTCGCTCGGACTGTCTGAACTCCAATCATAAGTATTGTGAAAAATTCACCCTCCAAGCCAGGTAAGGACATCAAGCCTGCTTATTAGGAGGCTTTCGAGAACATGAGGCGGGAGAGTGGATTCCCCTTGGAAGGGGGGTAGAGACCGAATGTGGTGGGGAAAAACAGAAGTGACTCAACTTAGAAGATTAGGTGGGGTCGTCAGAGTCACCCCTTGGTTTCCTTGGTGAGATGGTGCTGGAAGAGGAAAACTACTTGAGATAGGGAGCACATGAGAAGAAAGGGAGTCTGGGTGAAGCATCTTGGATGTGGGAGAGTGTTCATCCAAAGAAATGATTGGTCGGTTAGTCAGCTCCTCAAACTTTTGTGCTATCATCCGGGGTAGCAGAGCAAGAAGCTGCTGGTGCATTGGTGCTGTCAGGGGCACTAAAAGTAGCTACTAAGGACTATGCAAGAGGGCTTTGACACTGTCGGGCATGCAAGGTGTTGCCAGGCTTCCCTCGATCTTGGGTCAAAATACTAGTGAGGAAGGGGGCTCTTTCCCACTTCCGAGTGGGATCAAATCATAGGTATGGAGTTTGTTTGCTGGGTCAATTTTATTTTTTTGAATTTTGCTTCATACTACTGTTTAATGTTGTCAAACTGGTCATCAAAGTGGTGTTTGTCGACTCTCCTTCATAGAAGGTTGGTGGTTATTTGGTTGCCATGGAGGAATGAGGGTCCGCCATGGATGCTCAGCGCTAAGCTGTGGCTGAGAGCAGTCATTTGAGTCTCCAGGGGGATGCCCAAGTAGAGGCAGCTGGAAGGCTATAATCATCCAGCACAAAAGAACACTGACTAGGGAGATAGAGGATTTGTTCATCTGGGTGATCATACTTCCTTAGGCTGGGGGGATGCACCCATTGGCAGAGTATATGGATTGGCTGGAAAAGCTATGAGAGGAGATGACACCCATTCATTCCCAAGCGGCTTTCCTCTAGGAAGAAGTTATAGTTCTTCAGGCTGAGTTGTTGGCCATTTTGGAGGCGTCTTCAACCGTTCAGTTACACATTGAAATAGATAGAGTATATGTGTTTAGATTAGGAGGTGAAATCTTGTATAAGTGGTTAGTTCTCAACTGAAGCAGCTGTTGATGGTTTTACAAAATATTTTCTTGAATAGTAGCTGAGCAGTGGATGTAAATATTTTTTATTTATGAAATAATACTTCAAAATTTTTAATCTCAAATTGTGTGTTCAATTTGACTCCTTTTCCATAGTTTCAGGTGGCAAGTGACATTATTGTCATTGTGATGGTTTGATTTCCTTTCATTGTCTATAAGTAGAGCTGAGAGTTCAAGAAATTCTAGTGCGACTATTTTGTTTCCTTTATTTTATTTTGTCTATTTCTTCTATCAGTTGTTTCTTTCTTTCTTTAGTCTTCATGGTGGCCAATTATTCGCAAGAGCACTTTGACTCTATTCCATCATTGTCTAATAGTAGCTGAGGAGGGTTCCATTCTGATGACTTACTAGGTGGACAATCTCCAAGAGTCTTAAGTTCATGAGAAGTCATTCATTTTGAGGGCAGTCATCAGTAATGACCAATCAACCAAAATTTACAACAAGGACTTGGTCTTCTACTAGGAACATTTTAAGTGTGGGTTGAGGAATTTGATCGTCGGGAAGAAGGCATTCCCCATTAGGAGGGAAAGGCTCATGCTGAAGACGTCTCCCCATCTCTTCATGTTTAAGCTAAATTAAAGAGTTTTGATATTAGATAGATTCTATGCATCAATGAGGGTACCAACTTTTGGTCAAGCTCTTCGGGCATTTAGCAATGGTGGATACGGAGATTGACTGGTACATGAAGATGCCGGTCAAGCTCTTCGGGCATTTAGCAATGGTGGATACTGAGATTGACTGGTACATGAAGATGCCCAGAAGAGGAAATCTGAGAGGAGTATGAGAATTCATCATGGTCTTAGAGAAAGAAAAAACCGAGCTAAAAGCGGAACTGGCGAAGGTGATGCCTATCGCTAATCACATCAACGAGCTTTTCAAACAGCTTTAGATGAGCATCACTTTGGCTGTCGATTGCTTTATCAAGGAGGGCCTAGTTGAATCCAAGGTCGCTGACATGAGGCTGTTAGCATGATAGTGAAAATTTTGTGAGAGCAGCAGAAGGAGCTGGCAACGATATTAGATTGAAATGTTTTCTTTATACCTGTCTCTTTACCTCTACCACTCGGTTGTGGGTGACGTTGTGTATGGTAAAATGATTTGCTTTGAGATATTTTTTCTATTGACTTTGATTTTTGTTAATTGTTCATCACAAGTCTTATACTGTCTATCTCGTTTGCTTGGTCATATTGTATCTCAATTGACCACACCTTTTATTAGGACTTTGGTTGATCTTATCGTTTCCTTTGTGTAGGTAATCATCGAGACTAGTTATTGGGGTGATTTGCATTGTACCCTTCAAAGAAAATGGGATATTCTTGGGCTCTTGTAACTCCTTTTCTACAATCAAATTTTTTTTGATACATGGCGAGGTTGAAGACCCTAAAGTCCCTTTAAATAAGAAGATACATGTGAGAAGAGAGAGGATAAACATCCTATTCCATGAAAATACCCCTTTATTTATAAGAGAGAGTTAATAATGAAGGCCATTTATAAACCCACTTTCTGGGGGAGCTTAGGGTTTTGCCATTCTCTGACTCGACCAAATGAGGCTGAAGATGTAACTCAGACAGTTCTGT